GAAACAAATAAATTAGCTAAAAAATAGCTGAAATGTGGCTACCAGTGTTAGCTAAATCAGATAACCAAAATATCCCCTACCTCAAACAAATGTGCTAAATAAAATAACAATCAAACAAAAAAAAACGTTTGCTTTCCTTTTTATACAAAAAGCAATTAGCTAGAAACTCAAAATTAGCCAAATAAGAGGAAGATTGCTTTCTTATTTTTTTAATAAATAAAAAATAATAAATAAAATAAATAAATAAAAGTAGGAACAGCGAGCACAAAAAAAAATATTAAAAAACTTTTCTCGCCAAGCTAATGGAATTAGCTATAAGCCTATTGAGCGTTACTTGACAATTGCTTCGATTTTAACTTCCGGAATACGACGGATGATCGAAGAAGGGATGTGAGCACGAAGAAAGAAAGAAAAAAACAAAAAAAACGCCAAAACCCAAACTAGCTGGAAAATCAGCTATAAAATAGCTAACGCGTGTGTAGGTCGTTATGCAGTAATTAAAAATAAATAAAAATAAAATTTGGATAATTTTAAATTCTTGGTTCACGAAATTTATTTCTTTAAAATTGTAGGTGGCAGTGTACCGCGTGTCATCAATAGTCCACTGTCATCAACATGTCATCAACTTATGCGACTTATACCAAGTCGACCCTCTGCCGACTGCGACTTCTACTACGACGCTCTGCCCACGATACAGTTACGACGGTAGTCTAGACGGCAGTCGTCGGCAGTACCATGGCCCGGCCGTTGCGAAATTTGTTGATGAAACATTGATGAATTTTTGATGAAACATCGATGAATTGATGATGAATCGTCGATGAATTTATGATGAATCATCTATTAATTGTTGATGAATTTTTATTGATGACAGCCTAAGGCATGGCCATGTTAAATAAATCAACAGTTCGTATGGCCTGTCATCGATGAAAAATTAAGAGCACCCCCTTGACTGTTGATGAAACGTTGATGAATTACTGATGACAGGTACTGCAGGGTAGATACATAAGCGTTGGCCGCAGCGCTGCTCGTGCGCTATGTGAATTGTAAGCCAAGGTGTAACGGACGAGTGTTGAATACAGGAAGCGCCATCTATGACTCGGTTGCGAAACTACAATAAACATAGAAATGCATTTTTGTTTACCGATAATATGCAGGTCTGCATATTACGAATACCGATAATACGTAGGTCTGCATTGACGTTAATGGGGATCGGATAAACGCTTACGGTGTTCGGAAATGCTGTTCGCCTCGTGCATTCTTTTCAATTCGAGCTTGCAGACAGTGAAGTTGTGCAATTTTATATTACCAAACCACGCCAAAGAGGTTAGAGCCGGTCACGAAATTTTTGAAGCCAATTAAGTGCCAAGTGAATTCAAGACCGCTTTCTGAGCTCAATGACGGTCAGTGGAACAGAAGGAAAATATTCAGAAGAGGCGCTCTGCAGGGGTGAGTTCTGGCAAAATTAACCATATTCGAACGTAACCCTAACGAGGCTCGGAAATTATTTTAGGGCGGCCTAGAACCTGTCTTTCGGCCCATAACAGAATTGGCGCTGAGAAGTCCGGCTAGGCAGCTGCGGGCAGAAATATTTCAAGCGATCGTCAGCCGCCTGCCCCAGCCAACTGCCCCAGCTACGTGCACCCAGCCAAGTGAGGCCAAGAAGAGCTGCCGACAGTAGCTCGGCAGCCAAATAGGAGTTTTCAAGCAATGACTGTTGACCCTCATCAAGCGCCACCGTAATCAACAGGAAACTTTCGCTCTGGATTTGTTTTGTGCTAATCGTTAATTTTATATCAGTTTTTGCTAAAATATCGGTGCATATAGGCCAGTGAAATACATGATTTAGGCCATAGCCTGAACCATGGTGTGAAGATTAAATTAATTTAATTTCGCGAAATATCGAGGAGTATTGTTTTTAGCTACTCTATATAATTTACCGCTGTCAAGATTATTCCTCACCATGAAATCATTCAAGTAATTGCAAATGAACCCCAGTCCCAAGCCTAAATATGAAGTCAAAGGAGTGGATATAAATAGCTAAGAAAATACTTAAGTAATATTAGTTGTAGTAGGTTTTCCAATTAAAAATTAAGAGTTCTTACTTCTATTATTTAAACGGTAAAAGATAAAGTTAAAATCAGTACGAAGTTTTTGATAATGTCGATCAAGTGGAATAGAGGAGCAGTGTGTTGATGAGTTTGTAAACAAACAAGAAGCAAAAACATAAATAGAGAAAATGCACGCATAGAAAAAGATTGCATATCTTCGGGCTCAGATAAGGAAAATATTGTGTTTGTTGTTTTTGGGCTTATATTTTACTTTCAGCTACAATGCCATCAAATGGAAGCGCTTTCATCGATGGATAAATAAAAGTATGGTGAGCGTTCCCAAAATGTATCTGGTATAGACACATTATAATCCCTGTTCACCCGTATGATATACCCGTTGGCAGCATGAAATAATAAAAATACAAAATAGCTTGATTTAAGTATTGAATATTGAATGAAAAGGAATTATCATGCATGCACTTAAGAAAATCATTTGAACGAAACACATTTAAATAATTAAGACATATACTATCTGCCTCTCCTCCGTTTTAAATCGACAGTTAAATTGAGCATAAATATTGATGAATGAAATGAAAAAAAAAACTGTCAACTAAGCTGTTATGAATTATCATTATAAAATTTTGTTTTTAGCTAATATATTACTAGTAATACTGTACATATTTAGTAATTAAAATTTTAAAGCTTGGTTTTAGATGCTAATATATAATATGAAACTAGAATTATCGGAAGAACACAGCTGAATTAGAGAAAAAGGAATATGAATGTAGGGAATTTAATATATTTCATTTCGTATGTTAATAAACAAATTATTATGATTGAGTAAACAATACTTTTAACTCCATGCTGATCGGGAGGTCGTCGTGAAAGCTCTTGGAATCATGGGGTCAATTATAAATATTTACGGGATGATATTGACCATGGCAGGGTGGGCATGAAACACCTCAATAACATTTGCAGGTGCGAAAGCTATTCGCTGAAAGGATTCTTCTTTCTATACTTCAGTCTGTCTGCTGCCTATGCTTATTCCTCTTTCCGGTTAGTTAATTTTCTTGATTTAGCACGCAATTTTTAGTTATTAAAGATTACCCAAGAGCCCCAATGACTGTAGCACATATGAACACCGCGACACTTGTTGACGAGACAGAGCCGGATATATTTGCGTGCAGGCTAACAGTCGGGAATACCAACAGCTCTACGTTATTCGTTACAAAATCAATAGATTCTTAAGTTAAGCAGGGTATTCATGAAATGAGCCGGACCAGAATGGATCAATAAATAGCCACTAATGCATTAACTAATTACTTGAACCAAAGACTATAAATACTATATACTTATACACCCTTTGGTTGAACTGTAAATATTTACCTATAAAAATTGTTTAAGCATTTTATGTTTGCACAGCAGTTGCCATGACAAAATCTATATGCAGGGGCATACATATGTGAATATGCGCAAAAAGTTAAGGCAAGGTTCGCGCATTCTTTTTTTTATTTCAGCTTTTGGTGTGACTTATACACTTATACACCCTTTGCTAGAACTAATTATTGAACTTATTACAACATGTTTTTATCAAGTAGTGAATATGGTGAAGTCTGCTGGGTTATAACAATTTTTTGTCAGAAGTTTGCAACGCAGTGATATAGACCATATAAGGCTAGGTGAGCAGCACAAATGAAGCTTTTAACGTTAAATGATTTATTGTTAAATGTAGAGAAAAATAGAAAAAAAAACTGTAACTGCCAAAACTATTGAAAACTGAAAATGTTAAAAAATATTTGTAAAAATTTTCCGATAATTCCTATGGCAGCTATATGATATAGTCATCCGATCCGGCCCGTTCCGACTAATATACGAGTGAGAGTATATAAAGACTAACTTCAAAGTTTCATTCAGTTAGCTCCAAAACTGAGAGACTAGTTTGCGTAGAAACGGACAGACGGACAGAAGGACAGACGGACATGGCTAGATCAACTCGGTTGAAGAATATATGTATATACTTTATATGGTCGGAGGTGCCTCCCTCACTGCGTTGCAAACTTCTGATTGAAATTATAAAACTCTGAAGGGTATAAATATATTCAGAAATGGCAAAGTTATATTTTTCAAAAATATTCCGACCGATACTATGGCAGCTGTAATAGTCGTCAGATTTTCGTAAAATTTTAATGTGTTGAAATATGGAAAGGTTATCTTAAAGCTATAGTCTTTCATTCTGTGTTGTTCCGACTTTTATACTAACTAGAGGAAGACTATCTGCAAAGAATCAATTAAAGATCTTCAAAACTGAAACCTAGCTTCCGATAAACGGACAGACGGACATGACTAGATTGACTCGACTGTTGATGCTGCTCAAGAATAAATAGTTTTTAAGGTCGGAACTGGGTCCACCATTGAAGTAAATTTTCAAACTAATTGATTGACATGTTTTGACTTTCAGACGTACATGCTGACTGCTTCGAAATTATACTTTTGCATATTATTTCTTATTATACCCTTGCAGGGTATTATAATTTCACTCAGAAGTTTGCAACGCAGTGAAGGAGACACCTCCGACCATATTAAGTATATACATATATTCTTCAACCGAGTCGATATAGCCATGTCCGTCTGTCCGTTTCTACGCAAACTAGTCTCTCAGTTATGAATCTATCTCAATGAAACTTTGTAGTTAGTCCTCTATATACTCTCACTCGTATATTTGTAGGAACGGGACGGATCATACGACTCATATAGCTGCCATAGGTACGATCGGAAATGTTTTACAAAGAAAATTATAACAGAAAATTTTAATTAATTATATTATTGTACAATTTTGTGTAAAATTTTATGAATGTCGAATTACTATATCATATAGCTGCCATACGAACGATCGATAAATTAATACAATTAAACGTGCAACGATACACATTAACCAATGAAACTTACTTGGTTTGTATTTCACCATCTTTCATTGGCTGAAGAATTTCATCGCCAAAATGTTTATATCCAATTGGAAAGTGCATTAAATATAAGTCGATATAAGTAATCCAAGCGATTCCAACTGCTTTTGACATATACGGCGCACCTCATTCGGCTCATGGTGGGTATTCCATAACTTGGAAAATGCCCTGATTAATAAAATTATAAACCTTTTTTCTTACGAATATTTTAAATACCTTGGTAGTCAAAAATATATTTTCTCTTGAGATGTTTCCCATTTTGATTTGGGTACGAAGAGCTTCTCCAACTTCTTTTTCGTTCTCATAATAATATGCAGTGTCAAAATGCCTAAATCCTGTCTCTACAGCATAATGAACTGCTGTGGAACATTGATATCCCTTCAGCTGCAAAGGTTGACAATTTTATTAGTTCGTTATTACAATTTCTTTTATAGAAATATGTTTGCCTTATTTGTTCCAAATCCCAAAATCGGCATTTCATGACCGCTGCTAAGTTTGACTTTAGGAGCCATAAGCAATGGCTTCACTCCACATGGTGGGCGTTGGTCACCTCCTAATATTACTTCAATTTGCGAATTTTCATCTTCTTCTATATCACATTTGGTTAAGCAGCGTATAGGAAGCATAACAAAACTTGTAATTAAATATTTTTACCAGAATTTTTGAAGAGAAACGTAATGTTTCCGAATTTAGATTGAAATAAGATTAAATAACATTCTAGGTTACTTTGTTCACTTTCCCACTATTGTTTATTAATAAGGCCAACTTGATTTAAAGTATTGTAGTTATTGCAGGTAGTAGCTAGCATGGTTAGAAATGAACGAAAATTTAACATAATTTCAATCAAAATGATATCTTTAACTTTAAACGGAATAAAATCATATACAAAACAAGAAAGGAAGCTAACTTCGGCACGCCGAAGCTTATATATCCTTGCAGATAGAACTTCGATGACTAGGAATCCATACAATATAATTATATATATTTATGTTAAAAACAATGGAGTAATACCTGCTTACATTTCATTCACCTATACATATTATATTTGCAGTTTTACATGCACAGATTTGCATTTTTGCTCCACATCTAACGATCGTTTGTATGACACCTATGTGATATAGTCGTCCGATTTTCATAAAATTTGACACAAAATTTAAGACTGATATAAAATGGCTATATCTCAATTAAGTGAAATCTGCTAAAAACTGAAAACGTTATAATTTTTAATTGTATTAATTTCTTGATCGTTCCTATGGCAGTTACATGATATACATAGTAGTCCGATTTTCATATAACTTAACAAAAAATGGTAGATTAAAATAAAATGGCTATATATCATATTTGATGAAAATCTGGTGAAAACTGAAGTAGTTATAATTTTTAATTTGATTAATTTCTTGATCGTTTCTATTGAAGCATGCGTACATATGTATATACATACATATAAATAAGGCTGCAACACTTTGTTGTTATGCCAACAATGTTTACATTATCAGCGATTTTGTCGCTAACGCTAAGTGCCCTCTGCACATAGTGAAGTGCATTCGATATATGATCAGCACTTGATGGCAACGACCGCCCAAATGGCTAAGTCAGCGTTCTCACGCTTGACCGTAGCTATGTATACATATGTGCGCGCAGAACTCTTCCTCTCTTCACACTTACATATTGTTACGATATATATAATATACAAAATATATAAAACGGCTGCTCTTCCGCTGCGTCGGCAGCTAGCAAGCCTTAATGTAAGAAAATAAGATTCATTCAATAAAGACAGGGAGTAGCGATAACTACAGTCGCTCTCCAAATTAAAAACACAATTAATAAAAGAACAATCTCAAACGATTTCTCTACATGGCGACCGTGACAGTCGCAATCCTTTTAGATTGCAAGACTAAGAGAAAATATTACTAAAAATAAAAAAAAAAATATACCACCACCATACATGGACCAAGGATATCAATGATAACAAATCATCGAAGAAAAACTGAACGACTGGATCCGAAGATTGCAGACACAGGATGTAAACATCGAGGGAAAAATTAATAGCAGACTACGGAAAATAAAGATCGCAGTGAGTGGAGTGTGATGTGTGGTAAACGCAGTGGTGTGGTGAAAAAATTAAAAGCCAGAAGGGTTGAATTACAGAAGCTACTAAATAGCGGAAGTAAAATAAATTGGAACAAGTCGGTAAAAATACATGCCGAACTTGAACATAACATATGTATAAGAAATTTATTAAGTGAAAGAAAAACCACAGCCACACATACATCCACCTACCCTGCAATTTAAAGCCTCGCTAAAGCTAATATAAAATTACCTCCGCCACAGAAGAAGGAAATACCCAAATTAATGAAGAAGTACCCAAACGACTGTGAGGGAACACTGTGCTCGCCCCATTGCGAGGACTCCTGTGCAGCCAGCACCGGTGCCCAGCATAGAAGATCATCGAGGAAGTCCAGCCTGTGCAGCCAGCACCGGCCACGTCTTGCAAATCAAGCGAGATCAAGAAGAAGTGAGCCGACAGAGCTTCATAGAGCACATATTTTTTTTAATGCACTGCGTTGCATAATTTTTTTGAATGCACTGCGATGCATATTTTTTTATATAGATATTAAAAATAATTGTAAAATTGAGCGGAAGAAAATCTGCCCAATTAGAGTGTAGCCTGTAAAGCTACATAAACATTAGGTAGAAAAATACATGTAACCATAACAAACAAATTATTTTATGAAAATTAATTGAAAGCAAACTTATTTATATCAATAATTATATAAGTAAATACGATGAAAATTTTGAAAATAAAAACAAAATTTAAGAGAAACTGTCAAAATTTGTATAAATAGTAAACCCAAAATGGGATTAGTAGACGTTAAAGACAGTGGACTCCACTGCTAACGTAATAAATAAAGTCGAACCAAATAACATTGATTTGGAATTCGCTCTTGCTATTAATAACTGTTGTCATAATGTGTGTCAATTGCTTCTATAAATTGAACAAGCTACATAATAAATGTTTAAAAAAAGATACATGAGCCAAGCAAACGACTTGGACAAAATTAAAAAAAAAAAAAAAAAACAAAGCACACAAACAACATAATGAACAATTAATGAAGCAAAACATAATAAAATGTCATTAAATAAGTAACGATAAGAAAAATAAAGAAAATTTGGAAGAAAATATATATACATATGTATGTATATTTAAATATGAATACAGAAAGAGCCATAATAAATACACATGAAAGGGACCCAGATTTCAGTAGAAGAATTCAGCAGTTAGTATCTGCAACCCCTGTTAGTGTGTACGAGCTAGAAACCCTTTACGTAGACACATATAACTGTCATGTCTCTCCATTATTTCACTGCACCGCAACCCAAAAGGAATAGTACTAACAATGGAATGGAATGAATTATTAAAAGAACTATCAAACATTAAAGCTGTATTGACAAATCACATAAGTCACTAACCTAAAATAGACCGATACAGAAAACAACGGTCAAGAAACACGTAGAAATATTAGTCAAGAGCTTTAATGAAGCTCGAGTCCTAATATATGAACACAGAGACAAGTTAAATCAAGATCATTGGTCTCAAGTATCGAAGTTTTTGATCAGACTAAGATCCAATCTAACATCTATTAGAGAAAGGTTAAACTTGATATTTCAATACCAAATATTCTTAATACTTCAATAACAATTGAAGCTGGTGACGAACCAGAGTCAAAGAAGTTATTGACCAACAAGTTTAGGAAGAGGAAGAAATAAATAATCTCACTATCCAAGCTATACTAATGTCAAATTGGACAATTTTGCAGATTCAGATAATAGCTCGAGCATAGTTGAAGAAAAATTTATTACAATGGCACAATCAAATACTGATTTTATCAACAATGCATCAAAGCTTATACCAGCATTTGATGGCAAAGCTGAAAATTTAACAAGTTTTCTCGATGCATTGGAGATTATAGAATCAATAAAAGGTGAACACGAACAATTAGCTATTTCAATAATAAAACAAAGCTAAAAGGTGTCGCCAGAAATTTAGTCGGAAATGAAACAACTATATCAGAAGTAATTTCCGGCCCAAAGAGCAATGTCAAAGGCGAATCTGTAGAAGTATATCAGCTAAACTGATGAATTTACAGCAACGCAACAAAACTGCTAACCAATACACATCAGAGGTTGAGCAAATGACAAAGCTTTAGAAAGTGCGTACATAACGGACGACCTACCACTTGCGTTAGCCAGAAGTTATTCCACACAGTCTGCAGTTAAGGCAATGACAAAGAATTGCGCAATCTATATATATAAAATGCTCTGTTCGTGTCTACATCCTTCATAGACTTGAAAAGTTCTGAACCGTTAAAGCCCAAATTTTTACACAACATGCGTTGAGGTTCCAGCTCGGTTATTGTTTACTTTTGATATTGATAGCTTATCTGCATTTGCGAATATATCAATTTTTTCGCATTTCCCCGTGCCCCTTTTGCTGCGCCCTTTACAGGCAGCCAGCTGAATCAAAGCATTTCCTGTCAAACATTAAAAACATTGAAAGAAGAAATGGGAGATACAAATTTTATTTTTTTGTTCAGGTTCAGTAAGAAACGAAGTCATGCCACCCAAGAAGTCGAGTTTGGGTCGTCGTACTCGCAATACAAAAGCAAACAGACGTAAGATTACGAATATGACTGACGAAGAACGGGCCTCCATCAGAGAGACTGAGCGGCTGAAAGCAATGCAGATGCACAATGAGGAATCAGCAGAAATACGAGCAGATAGGCTTGAGAGAAAACGATTGAGATTTAGGCAGTCGCGTTCTGCAGCAATCGATTTGATTCACTCTCAAAATAACGAACGCGACAGGGCAAGGGTAGCTGAAGCGCGTTTACAGCTTGCAGCAGATCAAAACCTGCAATACAATCGTCTTGCATTCAGATATAATCCAACTGTTGATTACAGCTCGAATCGCAATGTCGTTATTGGCCGGATGCATCAGGTCTGCATATACTGTCAGGCTCCTTCGATTGAATCAGACGAAACTTCGGTCCGAGGAATATATCCATTTGCGGATGCTGTGATGAATGACCGTAATACAACCAACGTTGGAAAGCTCACGATTTTGCCATCCTCATACATAGGTAGCCCACGCCACATGCATGAATATGCTCAAGATGCCATGGCATATGTTCGTTGCTACGGCCGTCCAGATTTTTTTATCACCTTCACATGCAATCCAGCTTTGGACGAGATAGTACAGCTGTTATTTCCTGGACAATCATATAGGGATAGGCATGACATCACAGCCCGTGTTTTCAGACAAAAGCTCAAGTCACTGATGGATTTCATTGTGAAACATGGAGTTTTTGGATCTGTGCGGTGCTGGATGTATTCAGTAGAATGGCAGAAGAGAGGATTGCCGCATGCGCACATACTGATTTGGCTGTATGATAAAATTACTCCAGACGAAATCGACGATGTTATATTCGCTGAGATTCCACGGGCCGAGGTTGATACGGATTTGCATGAAGTTGTCATCAAGAACATGATCCATGGCCCTTGTGGTACCCTCAACCCATGTTCACCATGAATGGTAGGCGGAAGTGTTCCAAGCGATATCCTCGAGCATTTACAGCCAACACCGTAACAGGGGACGATGGATATCCTCTGTATAGGAGAGGGTCAACTGAAGATGGAGGCACTTCGGCAACTTTAAACATGAGAATTGG